TCTGCCTCCCAGGTTCACACCATTCTCCTGCCTTAGCCTCCCGAGTAGCTGGGACTACAGGCACCTGCCACCAGGCCCGGCTAATTTTTTTGTGTTTTTAGTAGAGACGGGGTTTCACTGTGTTAGCCATGATGGTCTTGATCTCCTGACCTCATGATCCGCCTGCCTCAGCCTCCCAAGAATAATTTTTAATGACAAATTATATGCAACATACAGATAAAAATATTAACTACTATCAACTCAAGATCACCTAAATATCTTTGTTGTTTAAAATAGTCATTAAGCATAATTCCTGTCCAACCTGTAGACCAACTGGTTGGCAATTAACTGATGAAATTCAAGCTTAATAAAGTCCCCCTTTTAAAATATTCTATAACTGTTAGGTTCCACTTTCAACACAAATAGAAGACTCCACACTCACAAGTTAAGCTTCATTTATAAAACACTGTTATGGCCAAACTCTTGATCACTGACACATTAAGTTACTGGTTCCAGGAGCTGGGTGTGGTGGCTCAAGCCTGTAATCTCAGCACTTTGGGAGGCCGAGGTGAGAGGATCACTTGAGGCCAGGAGTTCAAGACCAGCCTGGGCAACATGGTGAAACCTCTGTCTCTACTAAAAATACAAAAAAATTAGCTGGGCATGGCAGCGTGCTCCTGTAATCCCAGGTACTTGGGAGGCTGAGGCAGGAGAATCCCCTGAACCCAGGAGGTAGAGATTGTAGTGAGCCAAGATGGTTCCACTACACTCCAGCCTGGGAAACAGAGTGAGTGAGACTCCGTCTCAAAAAGAAAAAGAAAAAAAAAAAAGTTACTGATTCCAAACTGTGTACCTGGCACCCAAGTGTGCTGCAACATACTCACAATGGTGTCCTGGGATATTTAAAAACTTTGAGAGATGCACAGCAGTTCTGAACATCTGTCAGGTACTGTGTGAACTACTAGCTCAAAACAGTACCATATGCATTACATTAGTTTTAATAACTTATCACTGTAAAGATAAACTGTTCGCAGTTGCTGTGATAAAAAGCAAGTACTTTTTTTTTTTGGGATGGAGTTTTACTCTTGCTGCCCAGGCTGGAGTACAATGGCACAATCTCAGCTCACTGCAGCCTCCGCCTCCCTGCAACCTCTGCCTCCCAGGTTCAAGTGATTCTCCTACCTCAGCCTCCCGAGTAGCTGGGATGACAGGCATGCGCCACCACGCCTGGCTAATTTTGTATTTTTAGTAGAGACGAGGTTTCTCCATGTTGGTCAGGCTGGTCTCAAACTCCCGACCTCAGGTGATCTGCCCTGCCCCCTCGGCCTCCCAAAGTGCTGGGATTACAGGTGTGAGCCACCCCGCCCGGCCCAAAAGCAAGTATTTTTTATTAAGGTAGTATACAGGACATGAGGGTGTCAGGGTATAAACTGATTCCAAAGTTTCAGAAGTTGTACAGTGTCCAACAGGCACACATATCCAATCAGTAAGTGTGATTATTTAATAATAAAATTTTGGCCAGGCACAGTGGCTCACGCCTGTAATCCTAGCACTTTGGGAGGCCGAGGTGGGCAGATCATGAGGTCGGGAGTTCAAGACCAGCCTGGCCAACGTGGTGAAACCCCCGTCTCTACTAAAAATATAAAAATTGGCTGGGCGTGGTGGTGGGCGCCTATAATCGAAGTTACTCAGGAAGCTGCGGCAGGAGAATCATTTGAACCCAGGAGGCGGAGGTTGCAATGAGCCAAGATAGAACCACTGCACTCCAGCCTGGGTGACAGAGCGAGACAAAAAATAAATAAATTAATTAAAATAAAATATTAAAAAAATCATCTTTTCCTTCAATTTCTGTATTTTTTTAAATTGGCTACTAAGTTTGGGACATATATACTTAATGTTTGGACCCAACCACTGTACTCAGTAAATAGACTGTTAGGTATTTCTTTTGATCTAAGGGTGCCATGCATCAAGAAAATTTAGGAACCACTCGTCTAAATAATCCATAGGTCTTCAAATAGCGACTGAGCCCCATTAGCCTTTGAGCTAAGAGTGTTTTTTCACATTTTTATTGGATTGTAGAAAACAAGGCAAGCAATAACAACTAAACAAAGAATATGTGACAAAGACCATGTAGCCTGCAAAGCCTGAAATATTTACTATCTGGCTCTTTGCCCACTCCTACATTTATATAACCGATATCTAGAGTTAGTATTTTCCGGGATTGTAGGAGGGTAAGAGTGAAATGACAGAGACTCCAGACCTGCGCTGTCCAATACAGTAGTTATTTACATTTAAATTAATTAAAATAAAATAAAATTTAATAATCAGTTCTTTGGTCACAATAATGACATTTCAAGTGCTCCATAGTCCCATGTCGCTAATGGGTACTATGTTGGAGTGCAGATACAAAACATTATCATTTTCACAGGAAGCCCTATTGGACCGCACTGTTTGACTGTTAATATCTGGAGTCAGTATCTTTTACAGTCTATTATTTAACATCGAATACATCATTAATACCACCATTCCAAACATTTTATTCAATTTACACGTATTTATCATCTTGTAAAGATTTCCAGCCATTCACAAAGTCAAGAATTATACTGCTTTGACCCTAACCTTTAATTACCAAAATTTTACCATATATTAACTCCCATCTCTGTAAATCATCTCTCCAACGAACATCCACCTCAAATGCGGTCTTCTCCACAAATCCATCACCAAAAACATCAAATAAGCTCTCCCTTTTCTGTGCTCCCACTCCACTTTAGAATGTCGTATAATCTTTTACATTCTGTCTTGTATTCTAGTTATTTGGGTATATTAGTTTACTTCCCTTTCTGGATTGTAAACCCCTCTAGATTTGGGACTCTGAATCATCTGTCCCCAGCCCTATCACAAGATAACGAACCCAATAAATACCTACGGGATTAGACGGAAGTGAAAACGTCAATTTTAATATCTAGACTGGAATAAGCTTCTGCTTTGGTCTTCATCCACATCCTGTCTCTGTTAATGCCTATTAAACCTATCTGAAATTCCAATCGGCAATATTTTTTTCCCCCTCAAACTTGAGTATTTAAATAAACATCAAGAACGGGGGCTTAAATCCTGAGGAATAATGAACGGAGAAGGATTTTTAAAAACTAATTTGCGGAGTACTAATATTGGCTTTATTTGTTAATGCTGTATCTGCAGGAAACGAAAAATCTGTTACGTGCCGCCAGCACTCCGAGCAGACACCTTAAACCACGAAGAGCTAAGAATTTTAAAATCACTCATTGCTGTCACTTCATTTAGAGCCAAGAAAAGCTTAAGTGAGAAATACAAACAGCCTAGATAGAGGTCCCTAGGGAAGAGCAGCAGGGGTGCAAGAAGAGTCCGCGAGCCCTGACAGAAGACCGCAGGGCGAGGCAGAAGGGGACGCCAAGAGAGCGACCGACAAGCAGCCCGAGCCGGGTGGCCGGAGGGGCCCAGGTGCGGGCGGAAAAGTATTAGGGAAGCGGGAGGCGCCATCACCTACAGGCCGAGGAGACGAAAAAAGAGCACAGTGTGCCCGGCCCGGGGCAGAGGCGTCTACTCGGCCCGGCGCTAACGGAGGCCGCCAGGCTGAGGGATTGTTCCCCACCTCCCGCCGCGGGAACTTCAGGGCGCCCAGACAAAACCCGAAGCCTTCCCTGGAGCCCAGAAGGAAAGGGTCATTCTCTTTACCTGCCGTGGCCCACCTGCTCGACAAATTTTGCGCAGGTTTGGGGTCCACACGCTCCTCAGAGCGGAAACTCAGCGCCGCCTCTAGCCGTCACCACACAACGCCCGGCTCGCCTCAGCGAAGTATTCAAATCTAACCGCCTAGGTGCTGCGCACGCGCAAAGCGGCTCTACGCGTCGGCTCCGCCCCTTAGGCGCCACACCAACCCTGTTTCTAAGACTCCTTTAAGGAAACTACTTTCCTAGCCTCCGTGCCAATTTTATTTCCTTCAAGTTTATCTCATTTTCGACCGAATTTCCTCTGCCCCTGCCCACTGCAGACCTCCCCAACAAACATGGGAGCGGCCATCTTCTTTCGATTGCTTGCTAAGGAAATGATTGGATTTTGGCTTCCGTACAAAATGGCGGCTTCCATAACATTGCGTCACATCCCCTTGATATTACTCCCTATAGCAATCAGGAAACTGTTTGCTTCGGGGACGAGGTGGCCGAGTGGTTAAGGCGATGGACTGCTAATCCATTGTGCTCTGCACGCGTGGGTTCGAATCCCATCCTCGTCGGGGTAATAGCAAACGTTTTTGTTTATAACCGAAGTAAATTTGCAGAGCGGAATAAAATTTTTTTTTTTTTTTTGAGACGGGGTCTTGCTCTGTCGCCCAGGCTGGAGTGCAGTGGCGCGCCTTGGCTCACTGGAAGCTCCACCTCCCGAGTATATGCCATTCTCCTACCTCAACCTCCCAAGTGGCTGGGACTACAGGCGCCGCCACCAAGCCCGGCTAATTTTTTGTATTTTGGGTAGAGACGGGGCTTTTACCGTATTAGCCAGGATGGTCTCGATCTCCTGACCTCGTGATCCGCCTGCCTTGGCCTCCCAAAGTGCTGGGATTACAGGTGTGAGCCACTGCGCCCGGCTGAGCGGAATAAATTTTTTTAATAACCAAAGTAAATTTGCAGAGCGGAAAAAGTTGAATACTCATTACTTATTACTCAATTAATCCGGCACCATCAATCTCAGGTATGAAATAGTTGAAATACAGTATTTGGAACGTTCCGACATCACAGATAAAGAAAAGGGAGGGAAAGAGACTTTCCAGGAATCAGAAAACGCGCTGAATTTATTTTTATATGAAGTTAACAACAGTGTATAGAATTCCACAATTATTACCATCCCATATGTTCCAATGCTGCTGTGTTCCAACTTTAACATAGCCCCTAACTGAGGAGTTTCAATTATTGTACACTCTTACTCGGGTTTTTAACACCTGTCCGGATTATGAAATACCAGGTTTCACTTCAAAAGCTACCACGAGACACTTTATTTATCCGGTATTTATTATCTACAGGCACATCACTATAACCCTTGATCATGACAGATATTTTTATCACTCCATTTTACAGATGAGGAGACTGAAAGATTAGCTTGCCCGAGGTTATCAGCTTCTAAATTGTAGAAAGGAGAGTGTAACCCAAATCTACTGGACGCTGGCTTAATCACCCTCCTAATCTGTGCTGTAGATTAATAATCAGTATTTATCAATCCTATACTGTGCTATAGATTAATAATCAGTATTTATCAATCTTTTGAAGCCATGGTTTACAGATTCTCTCCTCCACAAGGCTGTCTGCGTTGCACCATGCTCCACAACCCAGCACCTGGCAGGTGCTTCAGCAAGGTTTGGGCACTGAGTATGGAAAGCAGTGGCCCCATTCTCTGCTGGCTCCAGTGGCTCCTTCCTGTTAAAGATCCAAATCCGTTGGGAATGTTGATACCTCCTTGGGCTCAGGACATTGAGTCAACCTTCCTTAGCCTTGCTCTCCAATGCATTCTCCACCCTGCTGCTAGGAAGGGTTTCTGCTGGGTTCCATGCATTTCCAAGGGGTCCATGGATAGAATTCAGTGGATTATTTGGTTCAGAATAAAGATTTCATCCTTATTTCCATACTCCCTAATTGAAAGCACATTCTTCAGTAACGGTAAGCAGCTCACTACAGTAATGTTAACCTTATCCATTATTTTGTCACTAATAGAAATCACAGATATTTTTATACCAGATTACTGTTATTGCTTTACGCTCATTGCTACTTCAAAATTACGGTAATTTTTAGACGTGCTATTAGATCTTGTAATGTTACGCATTCATAAAGAAGTGCATGCATTAAGCCGGGCGCGGCGGCACACGCCTGTAATCCCAGCACTTTGGGAGGCTGAGGCGGGTGGATCATTTGAGGTCAGGAGTTCAAGACCAGCCTGGCCAACACGGTGAAACCCTGTCTCTACTAAAAATACAAAAGTTACCCAGGCGTGGTGGCATGTGCCTGTAGTCCCAGGTACCTGGGAGGCCGAGGCAGGAGAATTGCTTGAACCCAGGAGGTGGTGGTTGTAGTGAGCCGAAATCGTGCCACTGCATTCCAGCCTGGGCAACAGAGCAAGACTCCATCAAAGAAAAAAAAAAAAGTGCATGCATTATTATATTATTACATCACAAATTTTGAGAATATTTTGGCAACTATTCCAACACAATTGGTTGCCTTTGTATTCCAACATATTTAATTTTATGCACTTAAAAACAACATTCTGGCCAGGCATGGTGGCTCATGCCTGAATCTCAGCACTTTGGAAGGTCAAGGCAGGAGCAGCCCATGAGTCCGGGAGTTCAAAGACAGTCTGGGCAACATAGTGAGACCCCTGTCTCTACAAAAAAGTTTAAAAATTTAATCAAAATTTAAAAAAAAAATTCTGAGATGAGATCCTTAGACTTCCCCAGACTGCCAAAAGGGTCTATGTCACCAAAAAAAAGGTTAAGAGCCCCTGAGAGATACCTTTCTAAATCTCCCTGGAGACACTGATCTTACCTTTCCTTCAGTAGGATTTTTTTCTCTTTCCATAACACGTTTGTAGATACTGTCCCTGCTCCTCTCACGGCAACACACCCCTGACCCCACCCTCTTCTTTCCCATCATGTCACTTCCTGGCTGGCTGCCGCTCCTCCTTTGGATCTCAGCTTAGAGGTCACCCCCATCAACAAGCCCTGCAACCTGCAGCTCCCTCTTCCATTTCAACTAGCCCCTGTGCTCTCTCTTGCTTCTGGACCTTTGTAACCCTCCTAGACCCTTCTGTAGCCTGCTAGGCTTTTCCCAGCACATGCCAGGAAAGTGCCGGGAATGCATTTGAAAATAGATTTTTACTTACATTGCCCATTAGTGCTGCAACTTCTCTAGAGACGCCAGGGCTGCATCATTTTCTGAGGTTTGCTAGCTTCTTGCAGTGATGACTATAGGCTGTGCAGAGTATGGGTAGATTTTCTTTCTTTTTCTTTTTTTTTTTTTTTTTGAGACAGGGTCTCGCTCTGTCGCCCAAGCTGGAGTGCAGTAGCACTATCTCCACTCACTGCAACCTCCACCTCCCAGGTTCAAGCAGGTCTGCCTCAGCCTTCCCAGTAACTGGGATTACAGGGGTGTGCCACCACGCTGTTAATTTTTGTATTTTTAGGAGACGCGGGATTTCATTGTAGAAGGAACTCATGAATTTTACAAGTATAATCAAAGACAACCAAAATTTTTTACTTTTTCCTTCAAAAGCTAAGTGTAGTGTAGCCACCTTCCCCGCCACTCCCCGCGGCCACTCTAAGTTGGAGAAGAATACTAACTGCTTGTTTTTCCTTCCGTGCTCAGCGAGCCTTATCTGTACTTGCTAGTTTCACATTCCTTGAGGCTCAGCGAGTTCCTGCTTCACCTCCCTAGGGCAGCTGCAAAGTTACAAGGTTGATACAAGGTTGATTTCTCAGGGATGTGGAACATGTAACATAGATAAAAGTAAAAGACTGATCAACTCTCTTTGTTCTCGCTTCTGTAAGTCCGCTTCCTGCATCACGTTGCTCCCAGCCACTGACTGCTTAAAAGGTGGCTGCTTTCTTTGTCCCGGACTTTCCTGGACGCTAGTCCTACTGACCCAGGTCATCACGTTTTAATAAAGACATTTCCTCAACTCACTCTGTTCGGTCTCTCCCATCTTTTGATTGTCCCACAGCATCACCATGTTGACCATGCTGGATGGGACGTCGTGCTGCACGGGCTGGGAAGATTATTTTTTCAAAGGAAAATCTTCAGCTGTAGAAGTTGTGAAAATGAAATGTACTGGCAGAATATAGAGAAAAAAAAAATTATGAGTTGAAAACTCACTTTTTTAGGCTGAGTACAGTGGCTCACACCTGTAATTCCAGCACTCTGGAAGGCTGAGGTGGGAGGATTGCTTGGGTCCCGGCGTTCGAGACTAGCCCAAGCAACACAGGGAGAATCTGTCTCTATTTAAACAAACAAACAAACAAAAACACAGAAAGAAAGGGAAAAGAGAAAAAAGAGGCTGGTGTGGTGGCTAGCGCCTGTAGTCCTACAGAGGCTGAGGTGGGAGGATGGCTTGAGCCTCGGAGGTTGAGGCTGCGGTGAGGCGTGATCGGTCCACTGCACTCCAGCCTGGGCGACAGAGCGAGACTCCGTCTCAAAAAAAAAAAAGTCAAGGTAAAGAAGTATTTGAATTAGAGGAAAGAGAAACTTGTAAGAAGCTGACAGGAAAGCCGGGCGCGGTGGCTCACGCCCGTAATCCCAGCACTTTGGGAGGCCGAGGTGGGTGGATCACGAGGTCAGGAGATCGAGACCATCCTGGCTAACAGGGCGAAACCCCATCTCTACTAAAAATAAAAAAAATTAGCCGGGCATGGTGGCTGGCGCTTGTGGTCCAGCTACTCGGGAGGCTGAGGCAGGAGAATGGCGTGAATCCGGGAGGCGGAGCTTGCAGTGAGCCGAGATCGCGCCCCTGCACTCCAGCCTGGGCCACAGAGCGAGACTCTGTCTCAGGGGAAAAAAAAAAAAAAAAGCAGCAGCAGCTGACAGGAAAAGAGTTAGAGGCGCCATCTACTGGAACAGCTGAGCTACCGCAAGACTCGGACAAGATGCTCTTATCTACAGGGATGGATGCTCTGTCTACAGAGATCTCTTAACTCTCCAAATTCTTCAACAAACCACAGCTCAAAGAAACCATTCTCTACCAACACCGATGTTCTTCCTTGCAAATACTATCCTCAACTACTGCAGGGGACTTCAACCTCTGGAAGACCGCAAGAAAGGACTGTTGCATAAATATATTACCAAGGTATTTCAGCTCTTTTACTATTGGGGTGTCAGGTAATGGGTCTTCATTATCTGGGGCCAGCTTTAAGAGGACCAGTTCCCTCTTTTGAAAATGAGGTTCTCTGGGAATCAATGGCCAAGGTTTATTTTTATTTTTATTTTTTTTGAGATGGAGTCTCGCTCTGTTGCCCAGGGTGGAGCACAGTGGCGCCATCTCGGCTCACTGCAAGCTCCGCCTCCCGGATTCACGTCATTCTCCTGCCTCAGCCTCCCGAGCAGCTGGGACTACAGGCGCCCGCCACCACGCCCGGCTAGTTTTTTGTATTTTTTTAGTAGAGACGGGGTTTCACCATGTTAGCCAGGATGGTCTCGATCTCCTGACCTCGTGATCCGCCCGTCTCGGCCTCCCAAAGTGCTGGGATTACAGGCTTGACCCACCGCGCCTGGCCAACCAATGTTTATTATGAAATAATAAACTGGTCCACAGCCCAGACAGGCTATATGTGTCAGCAGCTGCCCTTATATGACATAGCTCTGAAGGAAGAATTGAAATCAATGCTTTGTTTTTGTTTGGTTGGTTTGGCTTTTTTTTTTTTTTGACACATTTAAAGTTTATTTCTTAACTCTTGCAAGAAAAACCCAGACCTCAGGCTCCAAGACTTACAAAGACTGGTTTTGAGAGGCAAGCAATGACAGAAGTGAAGTCAATTTGTTCCTTACCATCAGGTTCTCTCACTGGAGAACCATCTCTGGGAACACAGTGATGACAGGGTCTGGAAAGGCTCCATAGTGAATCCGTGCATTCTACTTTGAGTCTGCAACACCGACCCAAAACGTTTTTCTTTGCTGAAATCATTCCCTGAGATGCATGCTATCGTGTGAAAATACTACAACAGCTTCTAGGAACGTCTACTGAACTGAAAACTAAACATTTTCATATTGAAGATCAGTAGAGCAAAACGGAAATCAAGTTTTAGAAACATTGTTTAGGAAAGCCAAGATGAATGAGTAAATGCCAAAGACTCGGGGAAATAGGGAATAACACTTGATGGTATATCTCAAGCTGAGGTGGTGATGGATAGTTAGCCAGTTGTTTATTCTGATTTTTTTTTTTTTTTTTTTTTTGAGACGGAGTCACTCCGTCACTCAGGCCATAGTGCAGTGGCGCAACCTCAGCTCACTGCAACCTCTGTCACCCAGGTTCAAGCAATTCTGTTGTCTCAGTTTCCCGAGTAGGTGGGATTACAGATGCACGCCACACCACGCCCAGCTAATTTTTGTATTTTTAGTAGAGATGGAGTTTCATCATGTTGGCCAGGCTGGTCTCAAACTCCCGACCTCAGGTGATCTGCCCCCTCAGCCTCCCAAAGTGCTGGAATTACAGGTGTGAGCCACCCTGCCTGGCTTAGAATTCTGATTTTTAAATTATTGAATAACACAGAAACTTGACATCTGAAAAAATGTTTTGTTTTGTTTTGTTTTGTTTTTTGAGACGGAGTCTCACTCTGTCGCCCAGGCTGGAGTGCAGTGGCACGATTTCAGCTCACTGTAAGCTCCGCCTCTCGGGTTCACGCCATTCTCCTGCCTCAGCCTCCCGCTACGCCCGGCTGATTTTTTCTATTTCTCAGTAGAGACGGGGTTTCACTGTGTTAGCCAGGATGCTGTTGATCTCCTGACCTCGTGATCCGCCCGCCTCGGCCTCCCAAAGTGCTGGGATTACAGGCGTGGGCTACTGCACCCAGCCAAAATGTTTTGTTTTGATTTTTTAGTTTTAAAAAAACTGAAATAGTTCCTTAATATCGGTTTCTGGGAACTCACTGAAAGGATCACTTCCTATCAACTCTCCTTTCAATGACTGTCAGTAGTCATTTTTTATATAACCTAGTAAGTATCAGAGGTGGCCTTTATTTCAGCCCAAGATGCAAAGCGTTAAAATTCTTTTTTGAGGCCAGGTGCCATGGCTTATGCCTGTAATCCCAGCATGGTGACAGGCCAAGTGGAAGGACTACTTGAGGCCAAGAGGTCCAGACCAGCCTGATAATACAGTGAGACCCTGTCTCTACACAAAATAAAATTAAAATTAAGAAAATTAGCCAGGTGGCCGAGCGTGGTGACTCACGCCTGTAATCCCAGCACTTTGAGAGGCCGAGGCGGGCAGATCACCTAAGGTCAGGAGTTTGAGACCAGCCTGGCCAATGTGGCAAAAACCCGTCTCTACTAAAAATACAAAAATTAGCTGGGCGTGGTGGCATGCACCTGTAATCCCAGCTACCCAAGAGGCTGAGGCAGGAGAATCACTTAAACCCAGGAGATGGATGTTGCAGTGAGCCAAGATTGTGCCACTGCACTCCAGCCTGGGAGACAGAGTGAGACTCCATCTCAAAAAAAAAAAAAATTAGCTAGGCATGGGTGTGCATACCTGTGGGCCCAGCTACTCGGGAGGCTGAGGCAGGAGGATCATTTCAACCCAGGAGTTACAGGCTGCAGTGAGCCATGATTATGCTACTGCACTCTAGCCTGGGGGACAGGCTGTCTCAAAAAAACCCAAAAAATTTTGCTTAAAAAACAAAAATGTATTGTCTCCCAGTTCTGGAGGCTAAAGTCTGAGATCAAGGTGTCAGCAGGATTGGTTCCATAGGAGGGGTATGAGGGAGAATCTATTTCATATCGCTCATCTAGCTTCTGTAGTTTACTGGCAGTTTCTGGCGTATCTTGGCTTATAAAATTACTAATCCTTGTGATTTTGCTTCAATTGTGACTCTGGAAGATTTGGCATTTAGATCAGATATAAAGCTTTCCTTTTAAAATTCCTGAACTACTTTAACTTCAACATTTGGAATGTTGGAAAGAAAAAAGAACCAGAGGCCGGGCGCGGTGGCTCAAGCCTGTAATCCCAGCACTTTGGGAGGCCGAGATGGGCGGATCACGAGGTCAGGAGATCGAGACCATCCTGGCTAACACGGTGAAACCCCGTCTCTACTAAAAAGTACAAAAAACTAGCCGGGCGAGGTGGCGGGCGCCTGTAGTCCCAGCTACTCGGGAGGCTGAGGCAGGAGAATGGCGTAAACCCGGGAGGAGGAGCTTGCGGTGAGCAGAGATCCGGCCACTGCACTCCAGCCTGGGTGACAGAGCCAGACTCCGTCTCAAAAAAAAAAAAAAGAAAAAAAAAAAGAAAAATGAACCAGAATAATTGCATCACTTATTATTTACTTTAATTACGGAAACATTTTCAGGAACCTTTTGTCTAGGTGCCTTGGTAATGAAGAGAGAGAAGACGCAAGTTCTTGGGCTCTCTGTGTTGGAAAGCATGCTGGGTCTAGAATTCCAAAGCCATAAACTGCTTTTAGATCCCTCGGTTCTTTTATGATGGAGGAGTCATATTTGAATCTGCTAAGGCAAATAAAAGCAGTTAGTCATTTTTGCAAGTTATTATTATTATTATTATTATTATTATTATTACTGAGATGGAGTCTTGCTCTGTCGCCCAGCCTGGAGTGAAGTGGCGCAATCTCAGCTCACTGCAAGCTCCACCTCCCGTTCATGCCATTCTCCTGCCTCAGCCTCCCGAGTAGCTGGGACTACAGGCGCCCACCACCATGCCCGGCTAATTTTTTTTTTGTATTTTTAGTAGAGATAGGGTTTCACCGTGTCAGCCAGGATGGTCTCGATCTCCTGACCTCATGATCTGCCTGCCTCGCCTCCCAAAGTGCTGGGATTACAGGCATGAGCCACCGCGCCCACCCCATTTTTGCAAATTATTAATTATTGCTTATCATTTAGTTTCCATAATACTAGGTGTATGGTGTTATCTTTCCATCACTGGTGAAAACGACCCATGGTCTAGGCACTTTGGAGTAGCACCCACCAGCTGTGTGAAGGTCAAATGGATCTTAAAGAGTTGTGCAGTGAGACTGAAAGAGGAGAGTCACTATTTCAGAGATAACCAAAGGTTAAAAAAAGAGGTGAGATATTTTAATACTTGTTGTTTGAAAGTTTCATCTTGATAGTATTACACAATGATACAATATGTACATATGTAATGTAATATGCCTGCACAGTTTAAAAATAACAATAATAAGGCCGGGTGCAGTGGCTCACACATATAATCCCAGCACTTTCGGAGGCCAAGGTCAGGGAGGATCGCTCGAGGCCAGTAGTTCCAGACCAGCCTAGGTAACACAGTGAGACCCTGTCTCTACAAAAAATTAAAAATCAGCCAGGTGTGGTGGTATGCACCTACATTCTCAGCTACTCAAGAAGCTCAAATAGGTGAAGCACTTGAGCCCAAGAGTTCCAGACCAGCCTGGGAAACATGGCAAAACCCTGTCTCTACCAAAAATGTAAAAATTAGCTGGGCGTGGTGGTGTATGCCTGTGGTCCCAGCTACTCAGGAGGCTGAAGTGGGAGGATCACTTGAACCTGGGAGGTCAAGACTACAGTGAGCCATGATCATGCCACTGCACTCCAGCCTGGGCAACAGAGCAGGACCTTGTCTCTGAAAAAAAAAAAAGAAAGAAAGAA